GACTTGAGGTGCTCAGTATATGCTCTGATCTGACTGTGTCTCCCTAAATCTCACATGTTGAAATTCTAATGCCCAAAATGATGGTTATTATCAGGTGGAGCCACTGGATGGTGCCTGGGTCATGAAGGCTGACTTAAAGCCCATATACAAGAAACTCCAGAAAGCTCATTTGCCCCTTCCACTGTGTGAGGAAACAATAAGAAAGAGCCATCTAAGAGACAGGAAAGAGACACACATCAGAGGCTGAATTTGCCCAGCATCCCGATCTAGGACTTCCTCAGCCCCCAGAACTGTGAGAAATAAATTTCTGTTGTTTGCAAACTATGCAATTTATGGTATTCTAATATAACAGCCTAAACAGACCAAGACAACATATATAGAAATAATCACTTTGATTCATATGATCTGAAAGTCAGGAACAAAGAAGTACTTGAAGATTAATGTAAATAATTATTATGCCTCCCTTTGATATAATGAACTACTTAAGTCCTTGGATTTTGCATCTAGGACTTGAAGGTGACCCTTGGGGCAGATCAGGGAAGATTTCCCTTATGAAATCTGAGGATGTTGGAAGTGGGCAGAGGCTGTGGAATGGAAGAAAGCATGGAGCTTATTAGGGGCTGAGACAAAGCGAGTGTTGCTGGAGACCAAGAAGGGCATGATGCCAGAGAAAGCTGGAGAGATGGCAGAGACCAGGTCATGAAAGACTTATGAGAGAATAAATGTATAAACAAATGTGGTTTAATTCCATCAATGATGTTACAGGCAAACATTGCCATCAAGAGGTCTTCAAGTAGATCTTCAGAAGACAGGCACAACTGAAATCCTCAAATAAGGTTCTAGCTATGTATCATTTTCTGAGTTGTAGGTCTCTAATGATTTTAAGAAGCAACATTACATGACAGTTTTTGGAAATGTGGGAAAGAAATACCTCTCCTTAAATATGTACATGGTCTATAGGATATGAATATTTTTTAGAGATGGAAAATGTGTATTATCTATAAAGTATATTGCATATAACAAGTTATATTAAGGTCTTTTTGTTAGAAGAAATAGACTCTGAAATGCTCTCCCTCTTGGATCTTTCTTAGTCAAGGTTAGACTCCATTATTTTCATATAGAGACTTATATTGTTCCCCACATCCTCCCCCACAACTCCAGGGAGAAGTGGTGAAGTGCAAGGAGAACAGGAGTATTAGTGGCTCCTCAGAAACAAGAACAAGCTAGTACAGATCCTATAGTTTCCCTTTCTTATTGTCTTCCCTTGTAATTTCCCCAAAGTCTTTGTGGATTGAGTACTACAAGGAATATCTGTCCTCAGTATTGTCTTAGGGCTGTTGGAGCATGTAACTTTACTTAAGTAAACAGAATAATAATCACACTTAGATGTAATGTAATATACATTTGAAATCATTTTTAGCTTCAATCTAAAGTCTACCCATACTTATTCATAAACAAAAACTGACTGTAAAACCTATGTTTGTTTATTGGGTATTATCTGCCTTCTTTACTAGAATTTAAAATCCCTATGAAGAGCGATTTGTTTACTAGCTGGATGAGTAAATGATTGAATGAATACCTTCCCCCAAACAGTAGAGTCATTATAACATTGAAAATGTCTTTTATTTTCATACCAATGACAGGAGACAGTAAGACTCACGCCTAGTACAAATGACCCACATTTGTTCATCCATTCATTTTCTAAGTCTTTTATGCCACCTCTCCAGCTTTGCTTGGAATCATACCCTTCTTGTTCTCCAGCAACATTGGCCTTGGCTTAGCCTCAGAAAGTTCCATGCTCCCTTCTACCCCAAGACTTATTCCCATCTCAAGAACCCTCAGATTTTTACCAGGGAAGCCTTCTCTGATCCCCTGAAACTAGGTATAATTCTAGTCTCATAGATTCCTGTTTTCTTCTTTTTTTTTTTCCATCACAGTACTTATCACAGTTGTAAAATATATTTGTGTGATCATTTGATTAACATTTCCTCTCCACCCACTCAGCAGAAATTATACTGTTCTATTAATATCGTGTTCTATTGCAAAGCTTACCACATAACAAGTGCTCAATAGATATTAACTGGATAAATAATTGAGTTATATTTCCAGAAATATAATCTGTTATCAAATATGTGAGTCCACATTATACCATATCATTCTTCCCTGGAGCTCAAATTAGTAAATAGTTCATCAATACTTTTTGACCAATTGAAATGGTCATTTATCTCCTGCAAAGTATGTTCTCCTATGTCTATATGACACTGAGAACTCATTGTAAAATTTGCTGGGAAATCAACTTCTCTTCTTGTATTTTTTTTCTGCATACTAATAAAAAAGTGATTTGTTTTTCATTGAATTTATTAGCTGTTTTGGTATTAAAAACATGACTGGGTAGAAAATGGTTAGCCGAGAATCAATTACTCGGATGATTAGTATTTGTCACTTGTCTTTGTCTGGAAACATACTTTGATTATCCTCTGGATATTTGGTCTCTTATACTCTCAGCCTCTAGGATAATCTCTTTCCAATATTGTTCCTGAATAAAATGTGCTCTGTTGACAGAGTACCTGTTCAGGTACCTTTCAGATACTCTGTTGTTTCTTGACAAGCAAGAGTAGCAAGTTCTCAAGGTAGTACCAAAATAACATTCTTTTTTTAAAAGGAGGAATAGAGGTTTCTAATGCAAAAAATTGCAGAAAATGTCATTTTTTATAACATCCTATATCTGAGATATTCCATAGGAAACCTTGGGGTAGAACGGGTTCAGACAAATGATCCTGGCTGAAGGGGGCTAAAGAGAGACACTAAACAGGAAATCAGCAGTAACTGTAAACCTAGAGCTTATTTGTTTATATACTTCACTTTAAACTAACTACTTTACATACAAGGAGTCTTCAAATTTTCATGGAAAATGTGTGTTAAGAAAAAACTGTGCACGAATTTCAAATTTTTTTGGTACTAAAATAAACTCATACTTTAATTCCAGTTTTCCAGAAACTTTTTGAGGTCCCCTTGTAATTCTTCCCATCTATTGTCCTAGCTATTGTTTTCTGAATCTCTGCCACTAGGCAATTTTTATTACAGTGCCTAAAATTCTTTTAAAAAAAATTCCTAAAAGCCCAGGAAATCTGGGCAGTAGTTGCTAACTTAGGCCATTCATTTGGAAAGCCCCAGTTAGAAAGTTTGAAGAGATCGTCCTCTTCTTCTTTGTCTAGTACTTTCTCAAGATAACAGTAGTCAAGCAGAGAGTGGTTTCTTCATTGCAACAAGAGATTTTCTGTCAGTTTCTCATCCAAATTATCCTCGTTAGGGTCTGGCATATGCTGCAACATAAACTCCTGTGATCTCTTCTTACTCAGTGCATAATTGGGGCTCCCTCTAGAAGAGAATCTACAGCAAGGAATCAACTGTCCCTGAGATAACAGACACAGGAGACCCAGATGGTTCAGGAGGTGCAGAAACAAGAAGAAATTAATAATTATTTCTTCTTATAAAAAGACTTTAGTATAACTTGTTATACACAATATACTTTATAGATATTGCACATCTCTTACTGATTCTTTATACCTCCCTGTCAGGAGAAAGGGTTCTTGAGTTGGATCATATTCATGCTTTACTGCCTTTAGGCAAGAATACACATTTTCTTAGTATGCTTTAGTTTGATGTCAGAAAGATTTGAGAAACTAAAGCAATGACTACTGCCATGTCTAGCGCTATGATTACAGTAGTTCAAAGTATCAAAAGAAAGTGCTTTTATGACTTCCTGATCTTTGCTAATTTAAATGCACAATTCTATGTAGGCCTCTTTAGAGAAATGTAATGGGGTTGAGGCTTAGTTCTCAAAAACAAGAGAGGAAAAAAAAACACTAGATTTTGCTTAACATGACTTCAAAAATTTTATTACATTTCTATAAATCTCATTAAAAGGACTAATCTACCAAATGTGAAATAAAGATGTTCACTTTCACTTTCTTCTTTCATCTGTGTGAGCCATGTTGCTCATATAATACTTAATTAAACCATAGAGACTTAATGGAGAACAGGAAATGGGATGAAAAAGAGCATGCTAAGTACATTTAAATTTGATTTTTATATCAACTTATCTCCCTTCCTTATAATATCAGTAAAACACAAAAGAAGATTTTCTTCTTGCCCTTATCTTTTTTTTTTGCCATTTGTAACTACTCATATTTAGCTAAGTAAATATTAGATTAATATTCATGTCCTGTTTCTAAACAGGCACAAAAAGTATTACTGAGAACTAAGCCATATCACCTTGCCTATAAATGTTGGTTGACTGTCACTGGGGCCATTAGCTTATTTTGAAAATTTTCCAAGAAATTCATATACCAGTAGGTTTACCTTCCTGAAAAGCCAATTTCCTAAATATTCAATGAGATGGCTTTGAGACTCATATCAACAAATTAGGAAAGTAATAATGTTCCTATCTTAACAGGAAATTTACTATTGCTGGTGCTGCTGCCCTAATTATGCCATAATAGAATTTCAAATGAATCTTCTCAGAATTAAAAAACATCCTATCTACTTGCACAATATCCTCTTCTAGTTTCCTTAGCAAATGAATAGACTTGGAAAGTAAGAAGCAGCACATATTTTTCCCCCAAGAAGCAACAAACCAGGTTTTTACTTCATTATTATATCTCCTGTTTTATTTGTTTACTTTTGTTTTAGTGACTCTCTTATACTTATATAAGGTTTCCATGTCATTAGTTACCAAGGAAGAAACCAGAAATATTTTTTAAAATTAGCATGAATGCATAGCTTTCATTTCAGTAACATACAAATCCATCAATAATTAAAAATGGAGAAGAACAACCAAAGACAAAGCTTTAATGACAGGTACATGCTGTCATTTTCTATTTACCAAATACGAACATAAAAACACACAACAACCTAACTAGAATACAACATCTTTGCATTTCAAACCATAATTTACACTATTTAAAATCAAGGCATTTCAAGAGGCTAAAGTAACTCACAGTATGTAGTCACGCAGTGCCCTGGGTCACAGAGTCTTCTTCAGTATCACAACAGATTTGATCACCAGCAGGTCAACAGCCCTGCAACTGAAATCACTCATAATTAACGAACACTGTACTTGAACATTTTGACAGCTTGGTAAGAAATTCAGGAAAGGCTGTTTCTTTTATTTCTTGTGTAGTTGCCTTTGCAAACAGGAAACAGGAAACGCACCTACAAGCCTAATTGGCCTTTGGCTTGAAGTTCTTAAGGGCAAGTCTTATACCACAGGGGTGACAGGGAAAGTCCCCAAAAGAGCACGAATCAGGTCTCAGCACTTCACAATTTAAAATCCTTTGGACAGATACTGCGAGGGCAATTTATCACAGGAAGAGGTAGACATTCTTTGTAACATTCAGACTTTACACCTTAATCCAGGAAGGACTATAAACTTCAGAATAAACTCATTTGTATGTAAGTACATACACACACACACACACACACACACACACACACACCTATTTGGTTTTGGTATTCCCCAAAATTCATGTATTAAGAATTGATTATTTTTAAAAAAAGAATAGATTATAATGGGATTAAGAGGGTTATAATTTAATCTAATTATTGTATTCAAGTGTGGGGTCTTTGGGAGGAGATTAGTGATTGGGTAATTAGGATGGGGGCCCCATGACTGAGTCCTAGTGAGTCTATAAGGAGAGAAAATAAGGTCGGCAAGGGCCACGTGTAATGCAGACCACAGTTTCTCTGCACATGCTCACTGCCCTCTCTGTTTCTGTCAGCCATGTTGTGATATAGGATGGCTAATACCAGCCCTATACTTTTGGACTTCCCAGTCACCAGAACAGTGAGTCAAATAAATCTCTATTTCTTTATAAATCACCCGTCTCAGGTATTTCTGTTAGCAATCCAATAGTAGACTAACACACACACACATATATATATACATATACTGTATTAAACAATACATTCTTTAAAATAATAAGCAATACATTAAAATATTATAACATTTATAATTTTTTCTTGGAATATATGGTTTTCCCTCAGTATCTATGATGAATTGATTCCACAACCTCTACATATATCAAAATTCAAGGATACTCAAGTCCCTTATAGAAAATGGCACAGTATTTGCATATAACCTATGCACATCCCCTCATGTATTTAAATGCTCTTTCAGTTATTTATAACACCTAATAAAATTTACAGCTATGTTAATAGTTGTTACATTGTATTGTTTAGAAAATAATAATAAAAAAAGTCTGTATATACTTAGTACAGGCACATTTATGGTAGGCCTAATGATATAGTACACATCAGCAATGACAACATTTTCTACCTGCAGTTGGTTGAAACTACAGATGAGTATACAGAGCATTAACTGTATGTAACAACTATCATTTAAAAAATATTTTAGTTTCAAATAACAGAATCCCAACTCAAACTCATACAAATAAATAATATAACATTCTGGTTCATTGAGCTGGGGTGGGGGAGTAACAGAAGTAGGGTTGGTGAAGGAGGCTAGACATTTCCTATATTATTTAACTCTGTTTGTCTTGGCATGGATATTTTCTATGAATTAACTTCACCCTTCAGGCTGCTCCTTTCCTGGTCCAACAGAACGGTTACAGCAGCTAAAGATCGATACATATCCAACATCCTCAAGGATAGTATCAATACATCATGGCAGTCTTGGCAAAAGTTCTGACGTTGTATAGATGATCCATTGGTTAATCGGTCACTATACTTGGGGGTCTAATATGCTGAGTGACTTAAACTAGTCCAGGCTTATTCTTACAGGTGAGAGTAGGGTCAATTCACACAAAAATCACATGAAGATATACTCAGTATACTCTGAGAAAAGGGAAAGTTGGAAAGGGATATTGCAGAAGGGAATCAACAAATGTCTACCACAACAATGTTTGACAATCATCTGAAGATGGATATTTGAGTATGTATATCCATGAAAACACTAGTACTTGAATGATCTGAAAATAACTGAAAGATAATAAGATAAAGTTGAATAGATATTCGTTTCCCAAGGCCTTATGTCTAGTCAAACTCTCTACTAACACTGGATTTGCTCTTAGAGAAGAGTTCAGAATACTTCCACTATTTATGAACTCTACTTCACAGTGCACAAAGCACTCTTGCATTCTCTCTCCCCTCTGTCATCCAAACAATCCTGCCAGCAGAGGACGGGGCTTACTGGAAGCTTAGACAGTGAAGTAGATACTGCTGATTGCCTATCCAATGCCCAGTGGACCTTTTTTTCCTTACGAAAACTTGATTTCGTTCAGGGCAGGTATCTGCTGTGTTAAGGATGGAAGAGTTTTGGCCTTGAAGATGTAAGCCAAAGTTACAAAATGCTCCTAGAAAAGCTCTTTAAAAGGCCTCTGGCACTAACTTTTATCCTTTGCGTTCCCTCTTCTTCATGCCTGAAGCACAGATACAATGCTGGAAGAAAGGCTGTATCTCGCAGTCATAAAGTTACAGGCATGAAGTCAAAAGTCACATGCTACGCAGTTTCAGTGGAAAGAAGGAGCAACCACACTGGGCCTGACTTGCCTGTTCCTGGCTGTTACCTGAAAACAACAACAAAAAACACTCTATTTGGTTAAGTCACTGTAGAAGTTTTCTGGTTACAGGCCACTGAATATAATCCTAACTGATACAAAGAGGTTTCACAAAACCAAGTAATGACAGACCAAGGCTTAACCTCAGGCCTCTTGACTCCCTACCCAGTAATATTTCCAATAAACTGCAATGCCTCTCCAAAAGCAGAACTTGCACTCTGAAAATGAAACAAACAGGCATTTTAAATGGATACTTTTTTCCTCAACACATAGCATGTTTAAATGATCTGAGCCACAGTTCTGAAATGATGCTCTTGGTTTTAGTGTTTTTTACCTTTTTAAAAAAAGTTTCTTTCCTCCATGAGTTTGTGAGACAGAGAAAGGAGGGGCACTCCCAATGGGCTGTTCATGTCACAATCTACCCCCAGCTTCAGCTAGCCCTGACTGATGGACATGTGTGTGCCAGGCATGTTCAGAGAGGTCTCTGGATACAAACCTAGAACCTTCCCATGTGAGTCAGCCCTGCAGAGCATCACATTCCTGGTGTGCCACCATCCAACTCCTTTTTTTATTATTTAACATGTGACACTCAAGCACTTGCAAAATTGCTAAAAAGCAAGAATGCCTTGGCTACACCATGGAAACTAAGGCCATTTTACCAAAATTTCTTTTACTGCTACCTAAGAGAAAATGAGTCATCTTCCCAAATCTTTTTGGGGCTGAGGGATTTTTCTTCCTTGACTTTCCCATTTACTCTGCTATTAAAAGATAACGGAACTTTCATGAAAGTTGGAGTAACTTACTGAGCCAAAACTCAAGGAGGAATCATACCCAAAGATCAATTCCAAAAGGATTAAGGATTTAGTTGTGGAAAATGAAAGGTTTTTAACTTTTTGAAGAAAATCCAGGAGAACATCTTTCTGACCTCGAAATGGCAAAGGAGTTATTAAGGCCCAATTTTGAAAGCCATAGAAGGAAAGATTGGTAAATTTGCAACTGTAATCTTAAGAGCTTCTGTTCATCAAAAGGTATTGTTGAAAAGTTATGATGTATTTTTTCTGTTTTTCTATGCAAAAATGCATCATGACTTTTTTGACAACCCAATATAATAAAGAAAAAGACAAGTCAATATCTGAGACAAGTTTGCAACATAGAAAACAAACAAGACCAGTATTCAGAACTGTTACAATCACTCATTAAAAAGACAACATAATAGAAAAAATGAGCAACATATCTGACAGGCATATCACAGAAGGAAAAACAGAACTGTGAATGGACATATGAAAAGATGAGTAACTTTATTTGTAATAAGAAATGTAAATTAAACAGATAGTGGGAGAATAAATTGATATAACCACTTAGAAACAACTTACCCTTATCTTACAAAGCTTACATATCTTCATATGAACAAATTCACTCCTAGTGCTAAAGTTTGAGTGATGTTGTCTCCTCTAAAATTCATGATACAATTTAATACCTAATACAAAAAGTATTAAGAGGTATGGCCTTTGGGAAGTGATAAAGTCTGATAAAGCTCTACCCTTGTGAATGGGATTAATGCCAGTAGGTGGCATGGTGGTTAAGGCATTGAATCCCACATAGTTGATTCTGTGGTTCAAGTCCCATACCTGGCAGCTTGAAAATCACACGGGATGCATGTATGTGTGTGCCCGAGATCCTGAGAAGAGAATGGAAGAGAAGGGATTGTGGTATGGCCATCCACCCTGGGAGGTGATTCTCATTTTCCCTCTTCCTCTGTCCCTCTCTGCTGAGCACACATGCCCTATGGCAAAAATCTAGGAAAAACAAACAAATAAACAAACAAATGAAAAAAGGCTTGAGGTTAAAGGGAGTGCCCTCTTGCCCTTCTGCCTTTATGGAATGTGAGGACAAAGTATTCAGACCTGTTGTTCAGACTGGGTCATTTCTATCCCATTTATAAGTTCACTGATTCCTCTGTTTCATTCTACTGTTAGCTCATCCATTGAAGTGGTTGTTGTTTTAAATCACCTACTATATTTTCACAGAAACTTTAAAAGAAAAGAAATAAAAACAGATGCAGAAATCATTTAATACATTCTCTTTTTTTGGAGAGGTTTTTGCTATAGGGCACATGCACTCACCAGAAAGACAGAGAGAGACAGAGAGAGAGAAAGCGAGAAATCATTCCCCAGAGGGAATGGCCACACCACAATCTCTTCTCCTCCATTCTCTAGGGATCTTGGGCACTCACGCACATGTGCCCAGAGTGAGTTTAAGCCACCAGGTCCAGGACTTGAACCACAGTCTACTACATGGGAGTCCAGCTACAAAGCCATTACACCAACTGCTGGTCCCCATTTAATGCATTTATTTTTTGAGAGGTTTTTGCTATAGGGCACGTGCGCTCACCAGACAGACAGAGAGAGACAGAGAGACAGAAAGCAAGAAATCACCCCCCAGAGGGGATGGCCATGCCACAATCCCTTCTCCTCCACTCTCCTCTTGGGATCTTGGGCACGCAAGCACAC